AGCATCCAATGTGGTGCATTTCAGGAATTCACTGAAACTTGAGAATGGTATTTTTGGTGAGTGGGAATAGGTGTATGAATGAATAGTGAGGAAGTGGGAAGAGGGAAATACCTAAGTTGAGTGTTTTAAAGAGATAAAGAGGAAAAAGTAAAAAATTAGAATATCTGAAATAATTGCATTTTTGAAAGTTCAGAGTATTACTGTAGTGTTGTAATTTCATAGTACTATTTCAATATTACTTTATGTAAAGTTCTGAAATGCTTTGTTGTGAAGGATTAAAAACACAACACATATTTAAAACGATTAGACATTTAACTAGAACATATTTTAGATACTTAGCAGCAACCTATAGATCCTTACCCAGATTCAAATAATCTAAAAGTATCAAATTTCTAATAAAGTCGTTTTGTAGTAATGTACCAAGGGTTTTCCTATAACAACTTGAAAATCAAATTTTACTGCATGTTGTAATTTCAATTGCTTTCTGGAGACCTAATTTGTAGAACATTAAAAACCAGGGAACTCTTTAATGGAGAAATGGCTTAGTAAAGCCTATCTACTTACAAGTAAAATCACTGCTCATACTACATGTTCAAAGGAATATTGAAATGATCATGGTAAGCCCTTTTCACTTGTTATCCTTAAGCTTAGAGTCACATGGGCTAAAATGATAGTATTTAAAATCACCATTTTCAGATGCTTGGCAAAATCTTTCTACTGAAACAGTAAACACAGACCTAGAATAACAAGGTATTTTGAAAAACAACTTTATAGTTCAAAGATGCTTTAGTTGGAATTTAGAAAGGTAAATGCATTTTGGTTGTATTTGTTTCATTCTGTATGTGGCCCACCACTTCCTAGGAAATTGAACTTATCTTTGATTTGCATTCATACCATATGACATGCCATAAAATGCACTTTCTCCAACCAGTTTTGCTCACATCTTTGTCAAACTATGTTTCTCAAAACTAAGGCATACAGGTGACTAATGTAAGCAAGTGAGGAAAAATGTATTGTTCCCAATCTCCAAATGCAACATTCAAATTAATATCTCAAAATATCAGTGCTTTCTTCTATTATTTGTTAACTTTTTTCTTCTAGGACCAGCAATAAAATCACCAAGAGTGCATCAGAATCTTATAAGTCAACATCTGCTATACTGTCATAAGCAGTGATCAATATATTCTAATAGTTATGTTGTCAGTATAATTGTTCTTGCTGTACCCTTTTTCTTTGTCATATTTCTGTACAGATTGTAGTAGTTGTGTTTTAATTGTTAGGAATATAATTAATTTCTAAAACATGATTGTCTATATTCAGAAACATTAAGATGAAATAATAGATGCCCACAATTAAAGACCACTGTGCCTGATACACTGTTTCTGACAGAGACCCTCTGGGGCAGTGTCATCTTATAGAGCCTTATAGATCAAATGATGTTGAACAAAGTGTTCTAGTCCTGTTCAGTATTTAATTATTTAACATTTGTCCACGTTGTCGCAAATAATAGCCTATTCTCTAAACATATTGGGAAGATGACAATCTGGAGATCATCAACTTAATTATTTTATTAGACTGATATCCCTATGTCAGGATTAGCACACAGTATAAATTATAAAGGGCAGACAAGTTTCATTGTCTTGCTCTCTGGCAGGCTACTTTGGTCTTGTTTCTTAAACCCAGTCTCTACAGAAGGGAGATCAATCCCAGCCAAATGACAATTTCTGGCCCCACAAAAATAATTCAGGTGAAATGTGATGTATTAGGATGGGATTGTGATTATTGTGATAAGATGGTGCTTAAATATTATTAATATGCAACCCCAAAATTGGAAGGTTGGCTTTACCAAGCCTCAATGGAAAAAGCTTAGAAAGCTGGAAATGAGATTAAAGATGGAGTTTAGGATTTGTAAATTAACATCCTGGGTCCAAATCTAGGGCTTTCGGTTAAAACATCTGGCTGGATGGTGATTTCTTTTGAGTAAAGACTTTTTGTTTTATCCCGAATAAATTTATTTTGTCATCTCTGGGTACTGTATATCAATCAAAGTCAGTAATTTTTGTTGCATTTATTTGCCATGATTACATATATATTTTTTAGAAATACAAGACTTCTGTTTTAAAACACTGTAAATTTTTTTAGAGAAAATAGTAGTGTGTAATAATTAGGATCACTGGTTTACTGTCAAGTAGAGATCGATAGAATACTGATTGTTGTAGACAGAGATAAGATTCTTTGCATAACTTTGTTGGCTATTTCTGACGATAAGCCATGGTTGTCAGATCTGAACATATTTAATTCTGCAAATGAACTCTTTGCTAGCAAGGGCCTTTGGTACTGAAACATTCAGGAGATCACTTTTACAAACTTTAGGAAATATTTTTAACCTTTATTTTCTAACTCCATCATTAGATGATTGTAAAAGTTTATGAAAATGAAGCTGTTAATGCCAGGCAAAATTGGTACTCTTAACTCTTCACTGTCGTTCCCTTATCGTGGAAAAAAAGAGGGATGTCTGACCACTTTTAAAATAGTTTGACCACCACCTAATGGTTCATTATAAAAATATTCCCAGTTACCATAAGGACATTTTTATTCAGATAGTTCAAAAAACATGATCCAGGTGTATTTGTGAACGTGCAGCATTAATTTCGAGTTTCTGGACATTTGACAAGGACATTTAACCTTCTGATCCTTGCTCCAAAAAAGCCATGTTGCTCCTGCCAAATCTTTCTTCTGTCTGTACGGAGGACACAAGGGGTCGCCCCTCTCCCAGGATTGCAGGAGCGACCAAGCCGCACACGCAGACTCAAGTGAAGCAGCAGCAGTGGTGTTGCCTGTAGGACCTCTTTTCCAGACCCACTCCCACACAGTCACTGGAATTTCAGCTCCATTCCACTGATTTCCTCTTTCATCCCTTCAACACAACCAGAGGGCGCCTTTGACTTGGCCTTGGGATGATCCAGGCACAGAGAAAAACCATCTCCTTTAGACTTCAAACATCACCCCTCTAGTTCCAGCCCAGATGTGCGCACCCAGAGGACTCCCCTTCCCGCCCCCGCCCCCCCCTCCCGCTCTGGTTCTCCCTAGGGGAGATGAGAGAACATACACACAGCAATCACTTTCTTTGCGTTCTTGTTCTTTTGTTTCCTTCAGAAACAGAAGCCACCCAGTCAGAAACCTAGGTACCAGTGACACTGAGGCACAGGATCAGCTCCTGGGTGGAGATGGGGGACACTACCACGTTGGAGCGGATTGGCTTAAACTGTGCAGGGCAAGAAGCTGCATTTTTCCTGGCTTCGGATTCCCCACTGGCTCTGAAACTCAGTTCCCAGTGGACCTAACTAGCTTGCCTGGGTGGCGAAGAGGACCTTGAGCCCCAGGCCGCTGCTTCCGTGCAGCAGCGGCAGGGCCTGAGGGATAGACTGGGTGGGAGGGTTGCATAGACTACAAACCACTCAGAGGCCAAGAATAATAAATCGAATGCCCTGACATGTTTAGTTTAGGCCCTCCTGCGCCGAGACGCGATCTTAGATGCAGTGGGGCCAACTCGGACTCCAAGCCTCTGGCGCTACCGCCCAGCCTCGATTTTTAAAGGGAAATTTCAGGTGAATCAAACTTTGTCTGGCCTGGGCTTAGCGGTACAAAGGGAGCTTTCAGGGGACCCTCACGTCCAGGGCCAGCGCAGGGACAAACAGTGGCGAGAGGAGATTACTAAATTTCCACCCCACACAAGTGCTGTTGTGTCCCGAGAGCTGCAGGCGTTCCTGTCCCAAGGGTTTTGCGGGCTGGACACTTGAGAAGAGATCTCATCCGGAGAGGAGAGAAGGTCGTGGGCTGACCAGACAGAATAGCTTTGCTGGGTCATGTCAGTTACTTCCCCTTATTAGCTAGCCCTCGGTCCGGAGACCTCTCCAAGCCAGGGTCGTCCTTAACTCTGCGAAGGGACTCCCCTCGCGGGTACCCGCAGCAGAGCCACGCACCGGGCTACCCCGGAACAAATAGAGAAGCCACCTTCACATGCATTTCCCCCCCGAATCTCTGAAAGATGCCCGTTTGCCTCAGACCAACTTTGGTGGAGGCTGCCCGGACGGCCTCATTTAATTGTAGAGAGAGCACCATCTCACACAGCCGCCGCAGAACACTCTCCTAGGTAACTGGGTAAAGAGCCATGAAGCGATGAGCTCAGTGGGGGAGCCCGGTTCTCAGTAGTGCCTGTCTCAGGGGACCCATTTGAGAGAGTCTGAGATGGCCAAAGCGCTCACGTGGGGCAGGCAAGGCAAGAAGGTAACCGGGGAGTTCCAAACCTCCGGAGTTCCTCTGCATTCAGACCCCGGAGCATGGGACGTGGGCAACTCCGCAGACCGTTGTGGAAGCCCCAGCGCCGGCCGGCAAACAGCCGTGGAAGCCCCGCACCACTACTCCACTCGTGCGCGCGTCGTGGGAAGCGGCAGCGCAGGCGCTTGCTCACTGATCCCCCACCCCCATCCCAAAGACACTCCCAGGATGCTTGCCTTGACTACCATAAAGCAGCCTGGGGGTCTAGCCAAAGTTCCCCTGAGCCAGGCGGCAACTTGCGGTGTGCCCGTGCCCCGTTGAGCCAGTATCAAGCAACCCAAAGGCAGGGCGGGTGTCCAGCTGCCTGGGGCTCTAGGCCTCCGTCGGAGCTTCAAAAGGAAAACACAAATCCCTAGAGCGAATCTAAGCAAGAAACGAACATTTCCAGATTCCGAATTACAAGGGGGGCGGGAGCCAGGCCAGCGCGCCGGGTGCACAGACTCCAGCCCTGGCTTGAGAAGGAGAGCCAGTGCCCGAACTGTTATCTCCTATGGGAGGCATAGGCTGGAAGGGCTATTTCCTCTGGCAGCTGACTTTGGGCAGGCAAGGCGACCCCGACAGGTGAATGCGGGGTAAGGGAGCAAATGCTTAACACAAAACAAAACAACAACAAGAAAAACAACAACAAAAACCCCAAACCCAAAATTAAACCCTGCACTTACTTCTTCGCTGGCGCCTTCCCCGGGAGGCGTTTTGGCTGCCAATGTATTCCATAAAGTTCAAAATGATGAAAAACCAAGAAATCAGTCGCAAGTGCATAGTAACCCAGTAATGTTTCCCTTCTTTCTCTCCTTTTTCTTTTGACTGTTAGTTATATTTAATGTTTTTTTTAAATATATATGTGTGTGTGTAGATTTTAGGCGTGTCTATATGGAGCGGTGAAGAAGCAGGGCAGCGGGACTTCTCCACTGAGATCCAACAGGCGT